AGTCATATTTTTGCATGGCTGTCTTATGTTTCATCCAACCCAAACATAAAAAAGTATAGTTCACTCTTGGGTCTTTGTAGCTTCAATCTGAACACCCCCATGTCACATAAATTATGATCAAACAAATTTATTATGCTTTTCTCTTGTTACCTTTCTGGTACAGGGGTACAACTTTTTGGTAAAGGGAGCCATGACCTTTTACAATGGGCAGGAAGAGGATCATCCCCTTTTGACTCTACATCTTCAATCAATGAACAGGATGTTCTCGTTAGTTTTGTTTTGGGTGGTTTTTTTTGTTGTTGTTTTGTTTTGTTTTGTCTTTTTGAGACAGGGTCTTACTATGCAGTTCAGGCTGGCCTTGAGCTCACTCTGTAGCCCAGTCTAGTCTCAGAACTTGCAACGATCCTCCTAACTCAGCCTCACGAGTGCTGGGATTACAGGCATGTGCCACCACGCCCCGCTTCATTAGTTTTGAAACATATCCTCTAAGCTCTAGTAAAAAGGGACAACTCCCTAAATGTGCCCCGTGAGGTCCTCTCTACATCTGGTGGCCTGTTCACCTCACCAGCCCACAGGCATTGCCAGAACTCTCCAGGCCCATACCTCTCCTCAGGCCAGTCCCCCTTCTGAGCCCCCTGCACAGCTTGACTTCTACTTCCTTTAAGCCTACAAGCCACCCGCTCTACCATCTGGCCTTCCACTTCAGACAGACTGGTGTACTTGTCTTATCCTTCTCCTAGAGTACAGGAACTTGGTCACTGTTGTCTCCTCCCCCATCCCCAACATAATTCCTGGTTCAAAAAAAAACTGACTTTTTTTAAACTTTTTTTTTTTTAAGGCTAGGTCTCACTGTGTAGTTTATACTGGCCTTGAACTCACGGTGATCTTCCTGCCTCAGCTTCTCCAGTGGGATTACAGGCATGTGCTACCAACCCTGGTTTGCATCAGAATTTGTGGGACAAATTATGCCAAGGGACAATTATAAGTTTGCTGGGCAAGAAAGTGACTAAAAGCATAGAGTGTACAATGTCAGAAAGGTCTGCGTTCCAATCCCAGATCCTGCTACTAGCTGGCTGAATTTAGACAAGCCTTATAAATCCTCTGTCTCAGTTCTTCACCTGTGACACACCAACAAGGATGCCAACCTCACAACACTGCTGCAACGATTCGATAACAAGTGAGAACATCTACCACCATGCCCAGCTAGCAGTAATCACCCCAAAACAGCAGCCACTACTGGAGCTACTCTGTTAGGAGCAACTGACTCAGCAGGTGCTCAGCAAGAGTTTTGGAATCAGGGGTCCTGCGACTGCTGTGTAACACAAGCACATCTCTCTGTTCCTCACTAACCCCACCTGATTCTTCATCTGCTTTCTATCTATATCTACCACTACGTCTAAAACTACCTCTCCTTGGGGCTGGGGATTTAGCTCAGCGGCAAAGCGCCTGCCTGGCAAGCGCAAGGTCGTGAGTTCGGTTCCCGGTACCGGAGAAAAACCAAAAAAAAAACAACAAAAAAAAAACTACCTCTCCTTACAGCATGGAGGCATAAGAGATCAGCGTGGGCTACATACCGAGTTCAAGACCAGCCTGGAATACATGTATCGAGACCCTGTCGCAAAAGATATAAATCAATCAATCCATCAGTCTACCTGTCATGGCCTATAAGCAGCAAATGTTTTGCAAAGCATAATATGATTCCTCTGTTTGTCTAGATTCCAGATTCCCAGGCATACTGTCTAGTGTGCAGCCAGGGCAGGGCTTCACCTGGCAGGGGTCCCAACCCACTAGGTCTAGGAGGCGGGCACAGGGGAGAAGAGGGTCTGGTACAGCTTCTGCTTCACTATGTCAAGAAGCCACCCTTTCCCAAAGCCTTGCTTCCTAAATGTCCCGCTTGGTCATGGGACCTTCCTTCAAATAACAATGGGTTATTTAGGACTGGAAAATAACAGTGGTTACAGTGGGGCTGGCAGCTCAAGCACCACAAGTCACCCCTCTCATTAACTGAGCCAACCCCGCTTGGGCAGCATCAGAGTGAAAGAAAAAGACCAAACTAGTGTAGCTGCTAAAAAAAAAGTATGAGTGAGGAAGAAAGGTGAAAAGTCTCTTAAAACTTTACATCTGCCCAGGTTAAATTGCCACTCACTGTAACGTTCAGTAGTTTTCAAAGTGTCCCAAGTAGCTGGGTAGAAAGTAAATTCTACCTAGGCTCCAAGCAGACTGACTTAGTCAGAAAACCAGTAGTGTGGCCAGCCCAGCAATCTGTGCCTTACCCAGCTGGGGGTGGGGGGATTCTTTCTTTCTTTTTTTTTTGGTATCAGGAATCGAACTCATGACCTCACACTTGTCAGGCAGGCTCTGTGCTACTAAGCTACATTCCTGAGCTCTATTCCCAGCCCTCTCTGGGCGATTCTAATGCCTGGTCAAGTATAAAGAACTCTGCCTTAAACCTTCAATTATGGCATACTCTGCTTTAATTCAAGCACTGAACACCTACTACGTGCCAAGGACCAAGCAAATGAGGTTATTTCAGAAACGAGGATCCCTTTGAAGAGTTTACAGTTTAACAGGGACCAAAATCAAGTATACAAAATAGCAGGAGAACAAGGCAGAATGCAGCACAGAGCGACACAAAAGAATCTGCTTCCCACCATTCTGCCCTACCCCTACCCTGTAGATCTCACGCCAGGAGAACAGAAGTTGTAGGAAAGCCAAACTGCTCACCTCACCTCCCCGGAAACTCCAATCCTAACGCTTCAGTCCTCTCAATCCCAGGTGGCATTCTTAGGGTCCTCACCAAGCCTTGGCTTGGGGTAGGAGGTTATGTTTCCACGAGGCCAAGTCTAGAGGTTCTTTCTGGGCTCAGAAAGTACCCAGGGGCCGGTCAGCATGCCACAGCACATCACAACAATGCACTCAGGGCAGGGTCACTCCCACCGCCCCTGGCAAGCTTGCAGAGTGTGCAGATGCAGACATAAACACACATACAGACTGTTGGCCCCCTGGCCTCGCTTCTTCCGTTCTCAAGTTACAAGGTTAAAAGCATCCTATTCACAGCCAAGGGGGAGGGCTGGGACCGGGGTGCTGAAGCGGAGAACCATCTGGTTCAGATCAAGTCAGCTTACTCAGGACCCCTCCAAACTCGGGGAGTACATCCTCCCTTCCCTTCTTCCCTTCCTGCCGGGAATCCAGGGGTTGGGATAAAAGGGACGAACGACAACTCAAAGGAAAATTAGCCGAAGATGACAAAACAAAAACTAAATTATAAAGGCAAGTCTGCCACCTCACTGAACCCTTGTTATCTTTTCAAATTTTGAGCACCTGAACAAAACTTGAGATCACCGCCTACAGACTGTGTGCCTTCCTCCACAAAGCGCTCAGAGCACCCAGCAGGCAGCCCTGCCCGAAAAAGGCAGCCCCCTCCGAAGTTAGCAGCTGAAGCCACACGAGGCTTAGGGGTGTGGTCTGCCACAGTCCCTCTATGCCACGCTGTCTCCACAAAGATACCCAGTCCCTTCCTTCTCAGAGGGACTTGCAAGCCCACCAGACAGAAAAGGAAGGGATGGCCAAGCAGGGTCCAGACATCCGTCCCAAAGACAAGGTGCGACTGTGAGTTTCTGGCGAGGAATCACTGTTTCCCAGGGGTCCCAGGGCGCCTGAACACTCCTCACTCAGCAGCTTTGGCTGAAAGAAGCTGCAGGTCCCTGTCACCAGCAGCACCTCTCTCTCCCCCCGGCACCACTCAGACTGTTCTCTGGTCCTTTGCGCAGCTGGGAAGCAGGAGCCAAGATGGGAGACGGACGCAGTTGGCAAGGGACAGAAAACAAAAGGCTAAGTTCAGCGAGCAGCAAGGGGTGGATGCCTCCTCCCCAGGCAGGGAGGACCAGAGCCATTATGCAAAGGAGAGGGCAACAGATGCCGTACCAAAGATAAAGGGCAGACTAAAGTGAGCTCAGACCAGAGCTGCACCAGGGGCTGGGAAGTTTGGTCCAGTCCCAAGGGAAAGGAGGTAGGGAAGATATGAGTCTTCCATCCCAAGGCATGGGAGGCACAGGAGACAAGGGTCGGGGCTCAGGCCAGCGCCCACGGGACTGGCACACTGGCTTGCACCATGCCTCAGTTTCTCCAAAGTAAGAAAGAGGTCAAAGTGCCGGGTCTTACTAGAGCGAACTGGGACACAGAGGGTGGCCAGGAAGCAACGCTGGGTAGGAGAGGGACCTTAGGGGAAAGCTGAGGGAGGTGCTAATGGTGCAGACAGCTTCTGACCAAGAGTGGGCCGGGGGTCTCCAGCTGGAAGCGGAGCCAGAGCGCCGGGGCTAGGGGTGCGAAGTGCAAGGCGGTGGACTCTAAGTGGAGACTGAGGCAGGGTGCGCTTCCAGGGCTGGGGCTGGGGTTGCAGGCAAAGGGTGGAACAGGAGCTCCTGGAAGGCTGGGAGCGGCTTGACGTGCAGAAGCAGAAGGCGGGGATCCGGATCGAGGCCAAGGCGAGCGGACCCCCGCCCATACGGCGCCCCCACCCCAGGGAAGTTGTGGGTCTGGACCCGGCCAGTGCGCACGGCTGGGCCGAGCCCGCTGCCCGCGCACAGGAGGTCTGGGGCCGCGTGGGGCCCGGGGCGCTCCGCATCCTGCCAGCCCTCATCCCGCCCGCGCACCTCAGTCAGCGCCGGGCGCCGCGCGGGCCATGCTCGCCGCTCCTGCCGCCGCCTCCGCCCGTGCAGAAAGCCGCTGCTGCCGCCGCCCGCGTCCAGACCCGTTAGTCCGCGGCTCTCCGGTCCGCCAGTAGCGGGCCAGTCGCGCCCTTGCTTGGCCCTGCCCTCCCGAAGCGCCGCCGCCGCGCCTCAATCCGGCCCCTCCCCCCACCCCAGCCCGGCTGAAGGGAAGGGTGGGGGAAGGGGACGAGTGCCCCCTCCCCATTCACATCCTCTCCGTCTCTCCCTTCCAACCCCTCCCGCACGCGCGAGGTCTTCTGGGATATGTAGTCCAGCGAGCGTTGAGCTGCCAGGGACGCCCGCCTCTGGGACTGCTATTCCCAGAAAGCACCGCGCTCCAGCGCAAGGAATTGTGGGCTTTGTAGTTCCGTCGGGGCTCAGGGGGCTACGACGCAGGAGGCAAAGGGTGGAAAAATCTACATTCCCCGAAGGATCCGCTCGGAGCGACTGAGACAGAGGCTGTGGCGTCTGCGGTGCCTCGGGTTTGAACCGGATACCTGGATCCTCAGAGGGGTGCAAACTGGCAGAGGATGCTTCTCAGACGCAGTTGTGGGCAGCTGCGGCCGAGCCTGGCTGGAGGGAGCTGTGTCTGCTCACTCTAAGAACTACAACCCGACCCGAGCCAGATGGGTTCACGCCCCGGCCCTTCGAGCTGGACCTGTAGCGGGGCCTGTGCGCCCAAGCTGGAGAGAGAACCCCACCACCAATTCTTGGGATCCCAGAGTTTGGCCTCGCCAGACTTTGTGTTCCCCACCTGTGAACACTGTGTCTGTGGGTTCCCTAGAGCCCTCGCACCCCGGGGAGCATCTCTTCGTCTCCCTATTCCAGTTTCTCTCTGCATCTCTATCTCTCTCCGTCCCGCCCGCCCCCTCCCATCTTCCTGCTGTCTAGGGTATAGTGCAGGTGCACACACACCTTAATTATTTTTCCATGTCTCTTCTTACCGAGTCCTTTCCTGAGCTTTGAAACCTTTATAAAGCTCCTAGTCAGACACCCTTCAGGTTTCTTCCCCACTGGCCAAGGGACAGCCTGTAGTTCAGTGCTTCTCAAACCTTGCTGTGTAGTAACTCCCCCTGGAGAGCCTTTCAGACAGATTGCTGGCCCCCACCCGCAGTTTCTGCTTCATTAGGTCCGGCGTTTCTAACAAGTTCCCCAGGGACGCTGATCTTTCTGGCCAGGCCCGGCAAAACACTTCTTACCCTTGGTGTTTGTTAACTGCAGTTCTGGCATTGTCCTTCAGGGTTGGCCCTGCTGTGGGACAATAATAGCATCTGAAGAACCAGGCTGTGGAAGGTAGGGTCCCAGAATGGTTTGGCACAGGAATGATTTTTAACAGAAAAACAAGTGATGGACTGGGGACATAGTTCAGTAGTAGAGCACTTGCCCAGCATGGGTGAGGCCTTGGATTCAAACAAAAATACCTCTAGGGCAGGTCAATATAATCTGCTACATCGGAGTGGGCTATGGTCTAAAATAAGCTTGCAGGGGCAGGGAATGGGGGATATAGCTCAGCGGCACAGTGCCTGCCTGGCAAACACAAAGTCATGAGTTCGATTCCCAGTACCAAAAAAATAAAATAAAATAAGCTGGGGGGAATGAGAGATAGGAATAAATCACTATCTTGTCACATACTGAGAACTGCATTCATTCCATCCCAGGCTATTACCCTGCTAGTCTTAGAGCTGCACACCTCTAAGGGAAGGGAAGGTGAACACTATCCCCAGGTATGGTCCTAGACTTTTTCTGTGTGTATTGGTGGAAGTCAAGCATGGTAGAGCCTCAAGCATGCCAGGCAAAGGCTCTACCACTGAGCTACAACCCTGTCCAATGCTAGGCTCTTCAGTTGTAGGGTGACCAAGATCTCTGTGACCAAATTCTTAAGGAGTTTCTATTAAGCCCTCTTCTTAACCAGACCTCAATTTTGTGTGGGGGATAAGATGGGGTACTGGGTATTGAACCCAGGGTCTTCACACTGAGCTG